AAAAAAGTCTCTTTTGTCATCCACATCATATCTATTTTGATATGTACAGTAGTTTATAATTGCCCCCTTTTGCCATGTGGTGTTGATAGTTTATGATTGGGTCCAGTCTTTGATTCTTTTGAATTTTAAGGTTGTAAAAGTGCAGTTGTGAATGTAGAAGCTAGATCAATAGATTCCAAGGTTTTGACTAGAAGATGTGCCATAGCACGCCTAAAGGAAGTGACTGTGGACAAAGTGAGGGGCCTCATGGTTCAGAATGGTGGGGGCATGGTTATCTTGCTGCCAGACAATACTTCTGCACTATCTCCCGAAGAAAAACAGGTAAGTAAGCAGTTTGTTTTCACTATAATAAATGAATGTCTGGCATGAAAGGAGGTGGTTTATATTTATTTTGCATCACAGAACAGACTTGAATAAGTATAATTTCTTCACCTTGAGAGTGAACTGTCATACCTTGATTTCGACACAGAGTTTATTCTTTTGTGTTTAATTTTTTAAACTTTTTAATTCTAGCAACTGTTTGAGCTGGAAGAAGAGCTGCTTTCAGAGGAGATAACAGTGCCACTGTATTTCACACAGGAAACGCCACAAATAACGGAAGTCTATGACAGTGTGAAAACTGATAGCAGTGTGGACCAAGCCTCTTCTGGGGCAGAAGGTAAGTTGTAGTCTACATAATGCAGTAGAATGATAATGACAGTGATATCATAAACTTTTCATCTTTTTCTCTGTCATGCTAGTTGTAAATACCGATTTAAACTGAATAGTTAAAAACATGCTTTAAGGATACTGTCACCCTTTGTCCATAGCTACTCATTTACTGCCTTACATACATTGTTTTTGGTAATAGATAAATCTTCAGTGTCCAGTGACTAAACTTATTAACATGTAAACATGTATCATCTTACAGGTGACGACACAATTGCAATTTTGGGGTAAAAATTGAAGACCAGTTTCTCAAATTTCTGTTTTACCTGAGCACCCACGATCACCATTTTAACGCCAATTTAATGACACCATTCAGTACTCCAAAAGCCTGCCAGCAATTTTTCTTAAAAGTCTTAGTTCAGATTTTATTGTTGATAAAGCAAAATAATTCCTTTGTTTAATGAAAATCTGTAATAAGGGGCTCATAACTCCATAAAAACATTTAAATCAAAGTGACGGCATGGGATTGTAGCCCATACACTAGTGGTCAACTCTCCCAATTTATGTGATAGAATCATGTTCGAGGGTGAATTTACGCCCCATACCGATTGCAATCTCACCTCAAAATAGAAAAGTGTAAATTGACAATTAAAGTTTTGAGTTGCCTATGCTTATACATTGCAACGAGAAATATAAACACCAATATTTTATATTTACATGGGTTTTTCATTGTTTTAAATCAGCACAAAGATAGATGCATTGTTGAATAATTAGATGCAGGAAAAACCTCATTTCTGGTATCTGAATGATAATAAAGGGTTACAATACCATTAAGTGTGGTATCTGCTTATTATATTTGTTTCTAACCTCCAAATACCTATAGCTGCCAGGTAAAACTTATGTTGTGTCCTTAGTGGGTTATCAACTGGGAGGGGTATTGTATGTGGACGGCAAAAATGTAACACCAGAGTTCCAAATGATGACAAACAATTGTTTAGTAATTCATTTTTTAAATTTTAGCTCTTCTGAAGTCTGTGACAGCAAATGGCTTTCAGATGGTGGTAAATGGACCAAACTCTGCAGCTTTGGGAGAGTTCCAAATCACAAACATCCAGGTAACCTAAAATGGGGAAAAGTTGATGTGTAATTGTAAACAGCTCTGGTAAATAGAAACCTGTGCCCTGCTGGGGTTCATGATAGCATAGTATAGTTAGTTTAAGTTTTTGTTGTTGTATATTCCAGGGAAAGCTGTCAGGGCATGGTATTGAAGAACAGCTGCCTACTGTTGCTGTTGTAGCTCACTATGATGCATTTGGCATTGCTCCAGTAAGTATGCTGACTTAAATTTGGGGAACACTGTTTAAAATTGATGGTTTGGAATTTATTTTGATAATTTAATGTCATGCATTAGTTCATTTCATGATGATCAGGGATTTCAGACTTATTGTTCTTTGCTATATGTATGTGTATTTGCTTTCATGTTGCTATTTTAGGCACTGGCGTACGGGGCTGATTCTGATGCCAGTGGGGTTACAGCAGTCCTTGAATTGGCTAGGATCTTCTCCAAACTCTACACAAACTCCAGAACTCATGCCAAGTATCCTTTTAAAAATTAAATCAATAGCTGTTCTTTTTATGTGAGAATTATTATTTACTGAAAGAATTGTTGTTTGCTAATTTATATTAATTACTGTGATACATCTTAATCCTTCTTTTATCAGATATCAGTCTTATCACACAAAGGTCTTAATAAATTCTAATTATTTCCTTCTTATTGTTAATATCAACACTGTACAACATGTACAGATTAATAAGTAAAGCCTGTTTTTGTCTTGACCTATGTCAGATTCAACATATTATTCCTGCTATCAGGAGGTGGCAAGTTCAATTATCAGGGAACCAAAAGGTGGATTGAGGACAACCAAGAAAATGCAGGTTTGTGTTCATGTTCAGGTTTTATACTGTAAATGTGCCTGAGCACATGGTAAAGTAAAAATTGAGCTCATGGTATAATGTTTAAGACATATTGGTTTTGCCAATACATTTTCTTGTCCTTAAAGGAAATAGAATTTATTATATTTTATGAGTTGTTTACAATATATTTATTGTGAAATATGAATCTCATAAGAACAGTTGTTATCAATTTAATATTTCAGTCTAAGAATAGGAAGGTGAATTATAATGAAAATAATAATATTTATTTATTTATTAAAAACAGTTGGATTGTACAATAAAATAAAAACAGTGAAATGATAAGAGAAATGTTAAAAGTTTTATAAGTGAAATAAAAGATATGGATATTGGTTACTAAGTGTTTAGAAACTTAAAATAATCAAGTTATAAATATGGGTAATTAAGCATTTTAAAAACTCTTGAATAAATCTAGTGTTGCTCTGTCAGAAATTCAGAAATTATAGAAATGTTCCTAATCTCCAGATTCCAGTCTTCTGACAGATGTGTCTTTTGTGCTGTGCCTAGATGCTCTTGGTAATGAAGACCAACTGCATCTCCATGTGTCTAAACCACCCAAAGAGGGTAGCCCAGGAGATACCTTCCTCAAGGTAAGCCTGGTGATTGGCAGCTAATACATCACTTTACTCGTTCCTCTTGTAATGCCTGTTACAACAGCAAGTAACTGGAAATGACTAGAATTTTCATTTCATCCGTAAGGCTCCAGAAAGAGATATTCCTCTTTAGATTTGCCTCATTGAAAAGAAAGAAATGTAGCCGATTTTAAAACAGATGCATTTTATGAAAAATGCTACCACTTGATAATTCCAGCATCTCAAAGAAGTTTCCAGTTCACTTTTCCCAAGTGTAGAATTTGGCATGGTCCATAAGAAGATTAACCTTGCCCAAGACACCCTTGCTTGGGAACATGAGAGATTCAGCATCAAAAGATTACCAGCATTTACTCTATCTCATCTAGACACACATGATAACAAGATTAGAAGGTCTATTCTAGACACAAGGTAATTATCCTGTTCAGCTAGCTGGGATGGCTTCTTATTCTGAGCTGTTTTTGTTGTATCTAATTCTATTTTTGAACTTGTCACTATCATTTAATGTCGATAAACAAGTGAATATAACCAGCTTTTTTGAGGCATTAAGCTATCTGAAATCTAGTTTTCCATGGGAGATACGGTAATTTTTTCACAAACTAGTTATATTGTTAACTGTGATGATGACATTTTGGTGGTGTTTTGTTCCAGGGATGGAGTGGATGTGCAGAAATTATCCAGAAACACTAAGATAATTGCTGAGGCCTTAGCAAGATATGTGTACAACTTTACAGATCAGGGTCAAACTCAGATATTTACTGACACTTTGGTATTATTTTTTTATATATATCAATATTTTTTGTAGAGCAGTACTTGTAATTGATATGCCCTGATTAGCTTCAGATTATATCTTACCTAATTTGCATTTAATTTAAGTGTTTAGATATATCAATATTTTTTGTTGAGCAGTACTTGTAATTGATATGCCCTGATTAGCTTCAGATTATATTTTACCTAATGTGCATTTAATTTAAGTGTTTAGATCATTATAGCAATAAGGTACTTGTATTAATTGCATTCTGATTTTTGGATCATAAAGAATATATCCACTACTTCTTGTGCAGGATGTTCAGGAGTCTTTAGTCACTGCTTGGATGGACTACCTGACTTCTGAACCCAGAGGTACACAACTCCTGAACAAAGATCACCAAATGTTAGCCACACTAGAACACACAATGGAGAGGTATCTCAAAGATGTCAGGAGAACAACTGTCAAACCTGATAAAAGGTGAGTTGTGATTCATAGGGGGCATCTTAGTATTTTTCAACATGCCAGGGTGAATAAAGTGAAGATTCAGGAACACTTATACACTCTTGTAAGATGCACTGGAATACATGGGAGAGTACTCGGGCAAAGGATACTTTTACCACAGTTATGAAAAAAATTGAGCTTACACTGGTCACATTGCCAAAGTTAATAAGCCCACATTGTCATTATCACAATCTACTGTATTAATCAGTCATCCATCACCCCAGCAGTAGGGGATTTTATTCATGTTTTTTTCATCCTTTCACTATTACATTATTAATCTTTTTAATGAGCATAGTATTACTTTTAGGGGAGCTTTGATATTAATGCCCTCAAGCTGATAAAATATTAATTTAGGCCTTGCAGCAGTTCTGATCACAAATCTTCTTTTTTTTTTTTTTTTCATCAGAGATCCAGAGTTCATGTTCTACTCAGGAGCAGAATTTTCCATGCATGCATACAGGTTAGTACATTGATAGACTCGCCACAGGAGCTGAATAGTTTACTCTTAGTAGGATAGTGGAGTGATTTATCTGCCTTCTAACAAGAGATTTTTAATTAAACTTAAACAGATGATTAAATCTGAGGGTATTTTGGAGGGGAGGGAGGAGAGCTGGGACGGGTCTGGGTGTATAAAGCTATCTTGTCAATGATTGTCTGCTTGGTTTCTTTTAAGATATTCTATTATTTGTGGAATTAAAGATTCTTTTATATAAAGAATCATCTTTTCATCAAATCTTGTCGTGTCTTGGACTATGACAACACTTATATTGTAATATATTGTCATGTTTAATATCAACATTGTTCAATTTGATACTGTTCAATTTCAGTGTGAAACCAGCCATTTTTGATCTCATCCTAGCTCTGGGAATTGCCGCGTACTTAGCTCTTCTTTATCTGCTTGGACAGGTAAGTCAAAATAAATATGTGGACTGTTATTAGTCACTCCTTCACTTACCATTGGATTATTAATGGTGAACATTAAAATCTTTAAAATATTAAAGGAATACAGTTTATTAGTATTTCAGTTTTATGCACAAGATATATATATTTTAAACTGTAAAATATGCTCAGTAGGTTGATTTAGATTTCTAAATACCATAATTTGGTTATGATTTGACACATGTAGTTAGATTGAGCAGAAGAATTTAATACATTGGTTTATGTATTTATCTTCTGTATACAAGTGATGCATGATTATGGCGTGTTTATGTTTATTATATTTCAGAATTTCCCTACAGTGTACACTGGACTCAAGAGACTGGTTGGTCCAAAACCCATGGCTGTAGAAAAAAGACAATAAGTAATAGTATACTATGCATAGAACAATAAGGTGCTGTGCCATTAGAGCATCAGCAGATTGTTCCTTCTGCAGTTGGTCATACAAAAACTGCTTTACACTCTTCTGTGTTTGTCAAATGAATATGTGTTGAAGTCCTATTGTCTGTAATTTAGACGTGAACGAATTATAAAATTGTTGGTTAGTGGCAGTTTGCTATCCCTTTTTATACGACTCAATTAGGCATGTGGTCATCACTTTTTAACATTTGCCTGTTGAAGAGCATATTTTGATGTCTAGGAAATGGGGAGCAGTTACATTTTACTTTGAGTTTATAGCTTACAAACAATTTTAATGCCCATGTTTACTTACTGAAGGGAAAGATAACAGTGTTTGACTTGGTCCAAGTTTCCTATGTGTATTTCTCTTGAACAGTGTGGTGATCTATTTATACAACCCAATTCAATAAGGTGATTGACTTTAATGTTGTTAATTATCTGTTAAGGATTCTAGACTGCTGAAAAGTACAATTACCTAAATAGCCATCTGAGTTGATCTGGTAATGTTTCCTGCCTGTGTTTTTGCTCAGTTTGTAATAAATTTTTCTTGAGCTCATTATCATATTTACTTGTACTATTACCTATGAATACAAATTGGTTATGAAAAACTTCATGAGTTCTTTTTTTTTTTTTTTTTTTTTTTTTTTTTTTT